GGCTTCGATTATTTTCAGGATTTTTAGGAAAGGGACACTTTCATCTCTGAATCTATAGTGTCATCAAGCATTTAAATTTTAGGAATTGATCAAGTGTGATAACTTCTAATACTTTGGCTGTTTTACAAACATGTTCATATTTATTGAAAAAGAGTTTATTGTTTTCACATTCCAGCTATATCCAGAAATTTACAGATTTCTTGCGGTTGTTTGTTAGTGTCCATCTACGAAGATTTGAAGGAAACAGTCAATTTCCAGTTTTAGAATTTCTTGCTCTTTTGTTCAAATATACATTTCAACAGGTATGGTTTGTTATTAATTTTAGCTTTTGATCAGAGCAAATTATGTACTTAGAGCAAAACTAAAAATTGACATAGTGGTCACAATAGTTAATAAATTTAGCATGTCTCTATGCTCATCAAAGCATTGAGAAAGTTGACATTTGGTTAAAAAAGGAACTCAAGAATCAAAGACTACTAAAAATCTCAAAAACAAGATATGGATGATAAGAGAATCATAAATCTGTATTTTACCAGAAAATCAAAAATTCTATATACTTGTAATGAAGAAAGTACTATTAGAAAGCAAGAAATTGGAGATAATTTATCACAAACATGAATTGCAAGAATTTCAAGATATTATCATTTGCTATCATAAGCTTACCTGATTTGTACTGTGGTTACAAATAAGAAATAAGATACATTAAAAGTAGGATTTAAATAGGTTACTTTTTTGGGTAAGATTCTCTGTTTTTTTTTTTATTTTGAGTAATTGTATGCATATTTGTTGTTAAAACACATTACTATTGCAATGAATTTAAGAGCTGATTTAGGTGTTCACAACTTTTTACTTTAGCCTACACTAGAAGGATTTTATGCCTGTTTAGATATTTGGGGAATTTTCTTGGATTATCTGAGTACCAGCCTAAAGAACAGGCACATTGACAGTTCTACTATTATTCTCAGGTAAAAAAAAAATTTACTTTTATTTTCATGAGGTGATCTAACATGTGTGCTAGTTTGCTTTAAAAAGATTCATTGCTATTAACCATTTCAGTTTGAAACTTGACCTGACCCACATTCATGGTGCAATAAAAATAATCTTTCTGCAGTATTATCAATATTATTTTATAATCTATGTTGAGACATGTATAACATTTATAGTAACATTGAAAACCAGTGTTGCATGATTTGTATGTTTCCAATCAATTTTCTGGCTGCTGCAAATAAAACTGCCAATACGACATATATTCCTTAACTTACTGTCGAGTACTTTGTATAGTTGTAAATCACCTGTTTCCTAAAACGTTTTGCCAAAGAACCATTAAGAGTTTTTAACAGTTTTTGATGTTAAGATACTTCTTTTTAGTTATGAAGCCTATAAATTACAGTAATTTTTTTTCAGTCTCAGCTCTAAATTTTCTTAATTTTGGGGGTAGGGGGAGACATATAATAGAACCAAATCTAAAATTACATTAATGGACAACATTAACTTTTGGGGCAGCTGCCCCTCCTCGACTAGCACTGGCCTTGTACGTTGTCAATTTAAGACTTCTATTTAATGACTTAAAGTCATTGCACAGACATTGTTCATTCAGTTGGCCGTTGTTCAATTCAGCCTTTTGTTTAAATACAAAAATGTGCTCTTCATGTTTTGATGTATCTCTTCTTTTTATGACATTCTCATGCCCTTATGAAGCACCTGCTTGCTTCATTTTTTGTGCATGTGTTCTTGGAAAAAAAAATTACAGCTTCATTCACTGATGGGAAATACCTCTGGCAACAGAAGCAAGAAAGAGTGTAAATGACATCTAAACCTCTTTTTATCAGCTTTGGTAAAGTAAAATATGTTTTGAAATGATTGGTGTTTTTGAAAAAGATTGAAGATAGCACATTTTGGAAAATTTGGAAGCAAAATTGTTTTGTTGTTGGGCTCCTTTAGTGTTGTTGTATATGATGTCTTTGAAATTTACAAGGCTTGGATTTTATTTTTCAGTTTGATTAGCAAAAGTTGCCTACACATTGTGTGTTGTCCAGCAACTTAGAAAGTTGACTAGCAAATCTTTTAATGTATAAAAATGCTCTTGAAACTAAATCATGCCTCATCTTGTGTCTGTTTTTAATGTAGTACTGTTATAGAGGATATGTAACAAAATTCAACATTTAAGTATTAAAGTAAGCAAAATAACATATTTTCTTCGAAACTTTTACCTTCACATAACTGATCATTCTCTTCTCATTAGCAGCAATCACTTATTTTACAGTTGACTCAACATAGATATTAATAAAACAAGTTTAATCTTATGTTTATTATAATTAGAGTAGTAGTATTGTCAATAGCAAGAGAGTTTCTTAGATTTGTACAATTTTTTTCATATTTGAAAAAACTTGAAATCAGCATGTGTATTTCAAATTATTAATACAAGCAAAATAGTAAGCATATCACTAGCTACAGGAAATTTAACTCTAATTTCATAGCAGTTTACAACATTTTGCCAAAACTGCAGAATAATAGAATTTTTTTTTCTTCGAAGTAACCCAAAACCTTTTTATAACATACATTTTAAACTGAAACTGACCAAATATCAAAAAATTGATATCATTTCCATTCTAAGCTGCTTTAGCCTCTTTATCTGACAATACACTAGGCCACAGGTCTTTCTGGTTATTGTTCTGCAGGATTAATCCTTTAACCCCCTTTCACAGACAGATCAAAGGGTGCATTCCACAATGTTTTAGAGAGTTATTTTCCACATTTAATTAAACAACTTTATCTTTGTATGTTATTAAAATTGACATCACAATGTAGTTTATAATTCAAATTTTAACATTATACATGTTAATTGTTCTCGGGAGCCAGGATTAAGATAAACTATGTGGGAAAGTTTTGGTAATTGTGCCACATGAGCTTATTTTCTACCAATGGTGTCATATTATTGTGTCACAGTAATGGCAGAAGCAGTAATTCATTGACATATGATCAGCAGGTTTTTACTGCAGCTTCTAACAGTATCATAAACATAGGAAACAGATATGTAAACTTTAGAAGAAGAAACTCTCAGAAGAAGTATATTGGAACTAGGGCTGAAATGAATATTATAAGTAGTGCTTCGAAGCTTCTTGCAAGATAACTACCGAAGCTTCGAAGTTTCTTACAATTGAGTATACTTGTTATATTATAACAATGTATGTATTTAATTTGTTACAGTTTGATTGTACATGAGTTTGACCTTCAGGCATTTGACCTGTCAAAGTTCAATATAACTGGACAGCAGTTGTGTAGTCTGAGCAAGGAAGATTTCCTAGAGGTTGATTACAGGCCTTCTGGAAACTGGAAGCTTTTATTTAGTAGCATTACATAGTATTGTCAGTCACAAACCACCCAAGTTTCCATCAGCCGGACATCGAGACAACCACAATGGAGAGCAGGAAGACGCCTACCCTTGATGGATTTGTAAGGCCTGCGAAGTGCAATGATACAGGTGCAAAGAATATAACAGACAGAGTGACTCAAATGATCGTTCAAGACCTACGCCCCATTCGAACTGTTGAATGCGATGGTTTTCGTAACTTAATGAAGTACTTGGAGCCGGGATATGTCTTACCAAGCAGAAAACAATTTACCGCTGATATCAACGTTAAACATGCAACGTGCAAACAACGTCTGAAAGAAAGGCTAAGTGACGAAGCAGTGTTTATATCGTTAACCACGGATATATAGACGAGCATCGCGACAGAAAGTTACTTCACCGTAACAGCGCATTACATTGATAACAGCTGGGTGCTACAGGCCTTTGTACTGGAAACCTTACCTTTCCCAGAACGGCACACGGGAATAAACATTGCAGAAAAGCTGAAGAAAGTGGTGGAAGAATGGGAGAGTATGGATACTATTAGAATGGTTAGCCATGACCAGGGGTCCAACATGAAGGCTGCCATGGAAATTTTGCACGAAGAACTAAATTGGCAAAACTTACATTGTACTGCTCACTGCCTTCAACTCTGTATACTGGCAGGGTTTAAAATCAATTCCATTGACAGGCTGCTGGCTGCTGGGAAGACGATTGTTACACACTTTCACCACAGTGTAGTGGCATCACAAGCTCTAAAACAGAAACAAGTCGACATGAACATGTCTGGTAAAAAATTAATCAACAGTTGTGTCACTCGATGGAACTCAATATATGAAATGTTAGATCGTCTGTTAAAACTCCGGTGGCCTGTAACTGCTGTTCTGTCGGATAGTCAAGTAACAAAACCCAGTGATAGATACTTGGATTTAAAATCTAAACAGTGGAAACTAGCCGAAGAATTAGTGGAGGTTTTGGAAAACTTTAGTACTGCAACGACCTTTCTGAGTTATGAAGAAAATGTATCAGTGTCAGCTGTGTTTCCGATATTACATGGTATTCTTGACCAGCTAGAGCCAGACATGTCGGATTCTGGCATAATCAAGCAATTCAAAGATAATGTGTCATCAGAGATCTCCGAGAGATTTGAAATCAAATCTTTGCATACTGCACAACCAATGGTGTTGACAGCTATTATTGACCCTCGATTTAAAAATCTTACCTTGGGTAGATATACAGAAACTGAACAAGAAGCCCTAAAGAAAGGCATCATTAAGCTGATGGAGATGTATAAAGAGTATGAAGAACATGAGTCTGCTTCACACGAGCCTTCTCCATCTGTTGTAAAACGACCAAAGAGATTGACTGCATTGGACAAACTCCTAGGTGAGGAGGCAGTGGTAGCAGAACCCTCTCTCAGCTCAGAATTGGAAAAGTATCTGGCCGAACCTCCTCCACCTAGAAGAGATAATCCACTTGTATGGTGGAAGTTAAATGCTGGTCGCTTCAAAGTTGTTTCATTTGTGGCTAGACGATTACTGCTGCATACCAGCTACAACCACATTTTCAGAAAGAGTTTTCTCTATGACAGGCTTAACAGTCACTAAATTACGAATATCTTTAAAACCAAAAAATGTTGACGCTTTAATTTTTTTGAACAAAAATTTAAGCAAACTGTCATTACAATAGTATTTATATTATTTATAGTGTGAGAGTGCATGTGTGTTACACTATTCAAACCTACTGTATTGTACTGTACTAACTATTTTAACTACTGCATTATACTGACTATTATTACTGGGTACTGACAGTAAAGAGTCGAGTGCTTCGACGCAAGGTGATTCTGTAGGTTTGTTGTCCCGCCTAAATAGGCAAATTCTTTTTTACAAATAGTGCACATGGCTTTCCTATGGTCGTGAAGTTCTTATAAAAACTCCATACATCCGAAACCTTTTTACAACTACTTCCAACCGCACCCTTATCTGACGCCATTTTTTCTAATCAAAAAAATGTATGTATAGCGCATGCATATAAATAAACGTGCGAATATTCGAATGGGCACTGGCAGATCCGAAGCCTCTGTCAGCTTCGAAGCTTTGGAATATTCGAATACTTTGTGTCAGCCCTACTATGGATGGAGTCCAGGTTTTGGGGTTGAAAGTGGTTTTTGTCTGGGACTGAACCATTGTTTTTGGCATTTAATATTTACATATAGAATCCATTTTTCATCACCAGTTCATGAGCATTACAGGCCAGAAGAGATGAAGCAACACATGTTGGAAACTGTGCATCAGAGAGTTTGTGAGGCACCCAAACACCTTCTTTATGGAGTTTTCCCATATTCCTTAGGGCCATTTCATGAGTGTGTTGCCTTGGGTTAGATTCAACAAGCATCTTCAGAGCATCAATATCAACTCCA